TATCTTTTCTGCATCAAGTCCGTCCCTTCAGCGCTGAGGTGTGAACAGTCAGGTCAGAAGAAGAGCACTCCTGAGATGATCATTTTCAGGAGTGCATTTGTTTGTCCTGCTCTTTATCTTGACTTTGTTCTTTCCTGACTGATGAGTCTGGAAACTGTTTGGATGTTAATGAGTGGAGCAGCATGTCCCTCCAGGAAGTCTGGAAAGTCAACATTTGTCCCACATCAGTGAACAGACTCCACTGTGAAACGCTTTGAGGAGCTTTACCAACACGGAGGTGAAGGAATGTTTGTGTTCTGCTAATGACGGCTTGAGAAAGACTTCTAACTTTGTCCAAATCAGTTTGGAATAAAAACTTCAGTTTGTGAGTTCAGCAGTCTGACATTTTATTTCTCAGTCTGAGTCTGTACTCGAAATCGTTCTTTGTCTCGAGACCACTTTTTGAAGGTCTTGTTCTCGTCTCGAAATCAAAAGCATTTTACCTCGGTCTTGTCTCGGTCTCAGACTGGGCGGACTCCAGATTTTAAATGAAGACCGGTGAAGACCACCACTGATCGTCTAAACAAAATGTAAAGCCTCTTTAGATACGACTAAAACAACTCTGGCGCTTGGACTGCAGCCTGTTGTACCACAACACCTGTGATCCGCTGCGTGTCATTTAAAGAGCGAGGCGCTGAGGTCTTACAGTACTCGTGTCTTTCTGTCCCTCAGGGTCCTGTGGTCACTGACAACAGCAACTTCATCCTGGACTGGAAGTTTGAGCACGCTCAGAACTGGAAGGAAGTCAACACGGCGCTCAAGATGATCCCAGGTGAGAAACGATGAGATGTTTAAGACACAAAGGGGCGGAGCCTGCTGCCTGTGTGACCCTCAACAGAAGATCATACTAAATACATCTGTCTGTCTCCCTCAGGTGTGGTGGAGACGGGGCTCTTCGTCGGCATGGCTGAGCGAGCCTACTTCGGGATGGAGGACGGGAGCGTGAAGGTTCGGGATCCTCCTGTGAAATGAGAAATCTCCCGCCTCCACCATCACCCCCCCCCCCCCCCCAACCATTCCCACAAGTCCACAAGTGCCGACTTTATGATTTTTGCACCCCGGTCTCGAGACTGTTCTCGGGGCGGAGCTGCACCGCCTGCAGAAGTGTAGCAGGGAAGTTTCCACACATCTCAAAATGCAGACTAAACAAGAGGAGCGCTTGATTTCTCTCATCCTGCAGCTGTTGCTTCTGATTATTATTTTTTTTTTTTAAAGTGCCTGATGAGGGAAATCAAGTGCACCGTGTGCTGCATGTTTCTTTGAATTGTTGCTCCGTTTGGCTGCCTGCTCTCACCGGGACTGTCGGCTCTGCTGCTGAATGAAACTAAGGTGTGCCTTAAAGTCTTATTAACTAAAATGATGCCATTAAAGTCCCGTTTAAAAAGCTCATAATCACCATGGAAACACTTTGATCTGCTCAAGTCCACTCGTCGTCGAAGGGAGAGCGGGAAGCTGATATGCCTTCAAGTCTTTCAGTTTAATTAGTCCACAGAAGGGGAGGGGGGGGGATGAACCATATTCAACAGCATGAACAACTTTTTTCATGATCTTCATTTTTTCTAATTAATATGCTAATTTAAACAGCGAGAAGCCCCTAAAACTTAATGAGATCCCTGACAGTTGAGGGGGAAACCCCGTGGTGCAGGTGTGAGGTTTAATGTGAAGAGAGGACATGTTGTAACTCATTCTTATAATGTGTGTTTAATACACAGAGAGGCGCTGTGAGAGATGATTTTAGATCCTTCTGGATTTTAAACACGCTCACCAACACACGGTTTGAAAAAAATAAAGCATGGAGGGAAATAAAAGTTCAGAATAAGAAGCATCGACTTTAAGGACGAGCGGAAAGTGTCCGGTCACTGTGAGAAGTAAGCACTTCCTGTTGTTGTGGAAACATGCTCTCACACTGGTACCAGTAAATTCACCTTTAGCACCACAGAGTGACTGAAGTTTCCATCTCTGTCGTTTTCCCTCCTGCAGCAGCTCTCTATTCGTTTAAGCTGTTTTCACACACTCCTGATCATTTCTAGGCATTTCAGGCCCCTGAAATCCTCCTGACTTGCCTGTTCACACATGCACCTCACAGCGGGAGACTTTCCCTGTGAGACGGGGGGGGGAAGAAGGCATGGAATAAAAGGGGCGACTCTAAACGGCTCCACCTCCGCATCATCTTGCCTCAGGAAAACCCTCCCTGCCCCGCCTCCTGTCCAACCAGAATAGTCTTCTCCTGTGAGGTGCATGTGTGAACGACTGGCTCAGGAGAATCTCAGAAGCAGTCCTCCTGAAGTCCTCCAGATATTTTAAGGAGTGCAGATGTAAAAACAGCTTTAGTGACAATATAATCGATCATTAAGCCGCACTTAATTACAAATATATAAAACCTCTGAATGAGGATTCTCTCCTGTTGAAGTGTTCTGGACGTCCGTACGGTACACGTTACATCGATGTCAAATATTTCATGCATTCCTGGGTTTTAATCTGGAAAAACACGTCGTCTACCTGATTCAGCTGAACACGTTTGGCTGTAGCTTTAATATTCTCGACGTGGAGTTTCTAATGGCATCGTCTTTGGTTGTTTCTTTTTTTGTGCATATAAGGGCCGCTGCTGTTACAAATGTAGCTGTGGTCTGTTTTCCTCTCAGCACAGACTGGTTTGTAAGTCTTTTGCAGGTTCTCCTGCAGAGTTACACTAATCAATTTCTGAAGGTGAAGTCTGCAGCAGCCTCTGAATGTGTTGCATGTACCTCCTCTCTCTGTGCTGCTTCATTTTGTGCCTCTATGTTAAATGCTTGACGTCTGTTGTTCTTTACATAATCAGTCTGTTCAAAGTCTGGAGCCATTTAAATCATCACTATAGAGACAAACAGAACACAGTAAAGTCAGAGTAATGTGTGCTCTTACGTAGCTTAAAACTGAACCGAGAGCAGCACAGGTTCATCTGATGTGCCTCGTCACACAGAAGCAATAAAACAAACTCCATCTTAAATCAGATGTAGCTGAATGAATTATGTAGCTCCATCTCCTCCCTTGATGCTCAAAGCTGCATCGTGTAGTTTCAGGGAAGACGTTTCAACATGAAAGTGCACAGTCACTGTTGGATTTGTTTCCATCGTTCAACACATCATAACGGAGGCGAGGCCAACTTAGAAAACAGAACTCCTCCTTTCTTATGTTAGAGATTCAAATACTCACTCTGACTGTTCACATTAACTTCAGGTTACTTTTATTTCCTGATCTGAGTAACACTTTCAATTAAGGTCACAATGTTCACCATTCACGAGCTGCTGATTAGCATGCATGCCGCAACTAGTAGCATGCTGGCTGCTTATTAGTCATTATTAACAGCTTCTTAGTACCTTCCTCTACATGACCACAGTCTACAGCTAACAGGTCATTAACTAAGAGTTTGCCCTCCTGATTTCTGCTGATTCATTGTAAGTTAGGAAGCTGTTGAACATGAAATTTGATCTTAACATGCTTTGCTTACTGCGACCTTATAAGGGCATACTAAGCAATACATATAAATGTTCCTGTAGAATAAGCTACTCATAAGCAGCCAGTGTGCTACTAGTTAGCATGCTCATAAGCAGCTAGTTGATGAATATTGTGAGCTTGATTTAAAGTGCTCCAGAGCTCCTTGTTTTGCTTACCATGCCTTAAAGACGGGTTCATTTCTGCATCTTTTCTCCATTTTGTTGAACGACTCATGAAGGGAGAATATGAAGTACAATCGAGCTGTTCTGTCCTCATGGCTCTGATTATGTGGTACTAATATATTTTACTGTAATGCAGCTCTACTCTCTAAACTAAACTGGAATCAGCCTCCGTGGTGAGACGATGACGCTCACTGAACTGTGAATGTGAGGCTCAGTTTGAGTTTGTGCACCAGCATTTCTTTCTTTTAGATGATTCACTGTGATGATGATGATGATGATGTTTCTGTCATGGTACTATTTTCTTTGTCAACCAATAAATGACCAAACTGAGAAAACCTTGTTTTTATTCTGACAATTGTGATAGAAGAACTTCAAAACTAGACTTAATGGGGCGCCGGTAGCCCAGCGGTTATGTCGTGTGCCTTATAGAATAGAATGTCTTTATTGTCATTATACAATTGTACAACAAAGTTATTTGGCATTAAAAAAAGGAACTCTCATTCAGGTAAGATGGGCAATGTATAGTAGGAGTTATTTACAGGTAGTAGCATAACAGAATATAAATAGATATTATAGAAATATAAAATAAAGTATGAAATGTAAAATATTACATAAATATAAATAAATATTGCACAGATCAAAATGTAAATATTGCAGAAATATAAATAAATATTGCAGTCTGAAAGTTAAATGTTAGTAATAAACAGTGAATCCTGAGGGGTTTTTAGCAATCAAACAAGTTCATCTTGAGTTTTCAACCCTCTGATTGAAGCATGCATGTTGAGCGTTTATGTCTGTTCTGTTGTCCTGACTTCCTGCCTTTGCTTTGTCCATCAAAGCACTTTGTAAACATCAGTTTTTAAGGTGCTATATCATTAAAATTATTATTATAAATCATTGTATTTCTTTTTTATATATATATATATATTTTATTCATTTTTTAACATAACAAACACAGAACAAGACAGCACAGACGTATCCAAATTACTGAAGAAGAAAAAAGAAATTATATATATATATATTAAAAATATAATAATAATAATAATAATAATAACAGGGGCGTTTCCACCCGTAGCCCCTGTCCACGTCATTCCCCGCTCTCTCTCTCTGGTTTCTGACTCTATCCACTGTCCTCTCTCTCTCTGGTTTCAGACTCTATCCACTGTCCTCTCTCTCTCTGGTTTCAGACTCTATCCACTGTCCTCTCTCTCTCTGGTTTCAGACTCTATCCACTGTCCTCTCTCTCTCTCTGGTTTCTGACTCTATCCACTGTCCTCTCTCTCTCTCTGGTTTCAGACTCTATCCACTGTCCTCTCTCTCTCTCTGGTTTCAGACTCTATCCACTGTCCTCTCTCTCTCTGGTTTCAGACTCTATCCACTGTCCTCTCTCTCTGGTTTCAGACTCTATCCACTGTCCTCTCTCTCTGGTTTCTGACTCTATCCACTGTCCTCTCTCTCTCTGGTTTCAGACTCTATCCACTGTCCTCTCTCTCTCTGGTTTCTGACTCTATCCACTGTCCTCTCTCTCTCTGGTTTCAGACTCTATCCACTGTCCTCTCTCTCTCTGGTTTCAGACTCTATCCACTGTCCTCTCTCTCTCTGGTTTCTGACTCTATCCACTGTCCTCTCTCTCTCTGGTTTCTGACTCTATCCACTGTCCTCTCTCTCTCTGGTTTCAGACTCTATCCACTGTCCTCTCTCTCTCTGGTTTCAGACTCTATCCACTGTCCTCTCTCTCTCTCTGGTTTCAGACTCTATCCACTGTCCTCTCTCTCTCTCTGGTTTCAGACTCTATCCACTGTCCTCTCTCTCTCTGGTTTCTGACTCTATCCACTGTCCTCTCTCTCTCTGGTTTCAGACTCTATCCACTGTCCTCTCTCTCTCTGGTTTCAGACTCTATCCACTGTCCTCTCTCTCTCTGGTTTCTGACTCTATCCACTGTCCTCTCTCTCTCTGGTTTCAGACTCTATCCACTGTCCTCTCTCTCTCTGGTTTCAGACTCTATCCACTGTCCTCTCTCTCTCTCTGGTTTCAGACTCTATCCACTGTCCTCTCTCTCTCTCTGGTTTCAGACTCTATCCACTGTCCTCTCTCTCTCTGGTTTCAGACTCTATCCACTGTCCTCTCTCTCTCTGGTTTCAGACTCTATCCACTGTCCTCTCTCTCTCTGGTTTCAGACTCTATCCACTGTCCTCTCTCTCTCTGGTTTCAGACTCTATCCACTGTCCTCTCTCTCTCTGGTTTCAGACTCTATCCACTGTCCTCTCTCTCTCTCTGGTTTCAGACTCTATCCACTGTCCTCTCTCTCTCTGGTTTCTGACTCTATCCACTGTCCTCTCTCTCTCTGGTTTCAGACTCTATCCACTGTCCTCTCTCTCTCTGGTTTCAGACTCTATCCACTGTCCTCTCTCTCTCTGGTTTCAGACTCTATCCACTGTCCTCTCTCTCTCTGGTTTCAGACTCTATCCACTGTCCTCTCTCTCTCTGGTTTCAGACTCTATCCACTGTCCTCTCTCTCTCTGGTTTCAGACTCTATCCACTGTCCTCTCTCTCTCTGGTTTCAGACTCTATCCACTGTCCTCTCTCTCTCTGGTTTCAGACTCTATCCACTGTCCTCTCTCTCTCTGGTTTCAGACTCTATCCACTGTCCTCTCTCTCTCTGGTTTCAGACTCTATCCACTGTCCTCTCTCTCTCTGGTTTCAGACTCTATCCACTGTCCTCTCTCTCTCTCTGGTTTCAGACTCTATCCACTGTCCTCTCTCTCTCTGGTTTCAGACTCTATCCACTGTCCTCTCTCTCTCTGGTTTCAGACTCTATCCACTGTCCTCTCTCTCTCTGGTTTCAGACTCTATCCACTGTCCTCTCTCTCTCTGGTTTCAGACTCTATCCACTGTCCTCTCTCTCTCTGGTTTCAGACTCTATCCACTGTCCTCTCTCTCTCTGGTTTCTGACTCTATCCACTGTCCTCTCTCTCTCTCTGGTTTCTGACTCTATCCACTGTCCTCTCTCTCTCTGGTTTCTGACTCTATCCACTGTCCTCTCTCTCTCTGGTTTCAGACTCTATCCACTGTCCTCTCTCTCTCTGGTTTCAGACTCTATCCACTGTCCTCTCTCTCTCTGGTTTCAGACTCTATCCACTGTCCTCTCTCTCTCTGGTTTCAGACTCTATCCACTGTCCTCTCTCTCTCTGGTTTCAGACTCTATCCACTGTCCTCTCTCTCTCTGGTTTCAGACTCTATCCACTGTCCTCTCTCTCTCTGGTTTCAGACTCTATCCACTGTCCTCTCTCTCTCTGGTTTCAGACTCTATCCACTGTCCTCTCTCTCTCTGGTTTCTGACTCTATCCACTGTCCTCTCTCTCTCTGGTTTCAGACTCTATCCACTGTCCTCTCTCTCTCTCTGGTTTCAGACTCTATCCACTGTCCTCTCTCTCTCTGGTTTCTGACTCTATCCACTGTCCTCTCTCTCTCTGGTTTCAGACTCTATCCACTGTCCTCTCTCTCTCTGGTTTCAGACTCTATCCACTGTCCTCTCTCTCTCTGGTTTCTGACTCTATCCACTGTCCTCTCTCTCTCTGGTTTCTGACTCTATCCACTGTCCTCTCTCTCTCTGGTTTCAGACTCTATCCACTGTCCTCTCTCTCTCTGGTTTCAGACTCTATCCACTGTCCTCTCTCTCTCTGGTTTCAGACTCTATCCACTGTCCTCTCTCTCTCTCTGGTTTCAGACTCTATCCACTGTCCTCTCTCTCTCTGGTTTCAGACTCTATCCACTGTCCTCTCTCTCTCTCTGGTTTCAGACTCTATCCACTGTCCTCTCTCTCTCTGGTTTCAGACTCTATCCACTGTCCTCTCTCTCTCTGGTTTCAGACTCTATCCACTGTCCTCTCTCTCTCTGGTTTCAGACTCTATCCACTGTCCTCTCTCTCTCTCTGGTTTCAGACTCTATCCACTGTCCTCTCTCTCTCTGGTTTCAGACTCTATCCACTGTCCTCTCTCTCTCTGGTTTCAGACTCTATCCACTGTCCTCTCTCTCTCTGGTTTCTGACTCTATCCACTGTCCTCTCTCTCTCTGGTTTCAGACTCTATCCACTGTCCTCTCTCTCTCTGGTTTCAGACTCTATCCACTGTCCTCTCTCTCTCTGGTTTCAGACTCTATCCACTGTCCTCTCTCTCTCTGGTTTCAGACTCTATCCACTGTCCTCTCTCTCTCTGGTTTCTGACTCTATCCACTGTCCTCTCTCTCTCTGGTTTCTGACTCTATCCACTGTCCTCTCTCTCTCTGGTTTCAGACTCTATCCACTGTCCTCTCTCTCTCTCTGGTTTCAGACTCTATCCACTGTCCTCTCTCTCTCTGGTTTCAGACTCTATCCACTGTCCTCTCTCTGCATTAAAGGCACAAAAAGCCCAAAAATAAATCTTAAAAAAAAAAATAATAATAATAATAATAACATACATGGGTCTTAATAACATATATCATATCAGATACAATCTTATCTACCTAAATTACATGTCAAAGGGAAAAACATGACTATGACGTATTTGTGAAGATAAAGTGTGGGCACCCTTTCTGCAATAAGCCAACCAGATCAGTGGGAAGATAATCTATGAAGGGTTGCCAAATATTATAAAATAGGTCGTTATTGCCCTTTAATTTAGCACTGAGGTGTTCCATAGGAAAAACCTTCAACATCATTGTATTTCTATTCTATAAAAAAGTCATCTTATCCATTAATCAATATCAATTTCACCAGAGTTATTGATGAAGAAAAACTGTTATTTTCAGATCTTATAGATATTACTGAAGTGAGATTTTTCAGAGTATGTTCATGTTAAAAACGAGATAACAGCAGAACAAGTAGAGAAAGGGTCTGCACACTGTTCAGCTACCAATGAGCATCTTTAATCTTAACATCTCTTTTTTTTGTCCTGCTCCTGTCTGAATTTTACTTGGATGTGTGCACACTAGTTTCCCCCCATTTTAAAACTAGATAAAAGAAAAGTATTTCCCAACTTCTGTAACTTGATAGTTGATGATGCAGTTCTGGTTTGAGGCCGCATGGAGGCGCCAAAAACTATAAACAGCTCGATTCTGCTGCAAGTTTCACTTCTAGTGCTGCATAATGTAGGTTTTAAACTACCTTTTATATCATCTTTAATCTTTATAAATAGATCAGACACACATTGAGAGACCGTGTGTATCACTGCACATGATGTGTGATGTGTTTTAAGTAACTGTCATATCCTTAATGTCTATAAAAGTATAAGTAATCAACTTCTGAATGCAGTTTTCCATACAGTTATTTCTTTAAATGTCGATCTTAGAGCTTTAATATCCTTCCGCAGTGTCATCATATCACCTCATTATGTCATAGTCCTCTCTGTTTGTTTACCGAAACTTAGAAAACTCGTGATCAGGAACAGGAAAACGGACCGATCAGTCACAATGAAGCCACGTTGGTGCTTTTACATCAACTGTCTTGACAACTACCTGTGATTGACAGCTCACACATCCAATCCGGTGCTTCCTTTGAGTCAGCGGAGGTAAAGATTAACCAGTGGCGTTGTTTGCTTATCTGCCTCATCTCTCTGATTGGACAGACACCGACACATCCCACCAATCACACATCAGCCACAGGATTCGCCATCGGGGATTTTTTTGCGTCACCTTTTCGCTCTCAGCCGCCAGTGCGCATGCGTCGCTTTGACAAACAGCGGCTCGGCCAATGACGTGCACTGTTTGGGGGGCTGGAACGTTCTGCGCCCGCCTCTTGGAGTGACACATACCGGACGCAATCGCGTTCTGCTTAGTGTGCGAGTGAACATGATTGACAGCCGACGGTCCAATCAGAATCGCTTACATGAATTTTTAACGAACGTAGCGACTCCACCGTCCAATCCCAGTGTAGAAACAAGGCGGGATTTATCGTTACCAAGGCAAGGCTTCAGTGAAGTATAAAGGGAATAACATGGTGTCCCAGTGGCTGTTTATGTTTACTTAAAGAAGAGATTTGAAAGGGCGTTCAGCAGGACACAACGGACTCTTCTGTACAGCAAAGACTTTCTTTTTTTTTTGCACTTTTTATGTTAAGATTTACAAGGCCACTGGCATGTAAATCTTCATATTTCACTAATGTGCCAGTCTTACAAATGGAAAGGGGGCTTCACTTTGGAAACGTGAGCATTTCCCTGGTGCTCCTGCTGCTGTTGCTGAAAGCCCTCATCGGATTCGGGATCTCGCAAACTCCGGGCTCCGAGCCGCTGTCCGCCACCCGGGGTTCAAGTCCGACCTCGGGCGAAGATGGTGCAAGAGTCATCATGAAGCTGGGCTTGGAGAACCTGGGCGCCCCGGTGCTGTACGGAGACGTTACTGTGGAGGACGACGACAACGGGTCGGCGGGAGAAGCGGACGAGTCATATGGAGAAAGTGACGGAAACATCCAACCGACGAGGTAAGAAAAACCAATTAAAATACTCAAGTGTACCTGACAGGTAACAGCTAGACCCGCTTTATTACATGCATAATGTGCCCCACGTAGAGGCTGTAACATGTTAAACCTCCTAAATGACACAAAGTGGGAGTTTAAAGTTTAACAATTGTTTAAAAAAATTGACTTAAAGCCAGCTCATGTCCAGTTGCGTGCTGAGTATCTCTCCGCCGCGGCGCTGCACTCAAAACTTGTTGTGGTATCCGTCCGCCCTAACTCTTCATACAGCGGGTGTTTTTTTTTTTCAAAGTCAAAGTCAACTTTATTGTCAATTTCAAAACATGCCAGACAAACAGTGGATTCGAAATTGCGTTTGTCTCCATCCCACGGTGCAATGCAACCAAAATAAGATAAATAATATTTACAGTAATAAATAATAAATAATGCAAAAGGTACAAAACAAAATAAAGAAAATTTAAAGAAAAAGTAAACTTGACATGTGCAATATGTTTTGATATTTTAGTTTGATTGCAGCTGTACTCAGTGGCGATTCTAGAGTTTGTTGGGGTCCTATGCTTACTGGGGGGCCCCTCCAACCACCATTATGTTGGCCAGTGTCCCAACGCTCTTCCTCTTTCTTTTTTTCCACTCCCACACTTAGATCATGAGATGATAAGGAGTGCGACTTGAGAGTGAGTGCTGTCAGATGGGGCCCTATTAAGGACGTTTCCTACTGTCATTGTGAAATTTGTACTTTTTGAGCTTCTGCTGCAGTTTGAAGTTTTTCTTGCCTTTTAGGGCCCCTTACTGGCCTGGGGCCCCAAGCTGTTTTGCCTGTTGACAAGCAGCACCTCTGACTATTCGACTATAACATCCAGCAGTTGTGGTTTACAAGAAACAAAAGCAATTTCTTTATTATCCTGTACATCTAGTCAGGATTTTGATTAACATGTCTATGAGGGGGTTCCCAAATGTTGCAATGCCAAGGACCCCCATATCAACCTCTGGTGGGGACCCCCCTTGCAAAATTTCATGAATTTCTTTTACGTTAGGATTGCAAATATCCAAAATGGGGACACCACTTCATTAACATTTAACAGAATCTTGTTATTCATTCATTTCATTCAACATTTATCTTTCATAAATTCTGTCCCAACAGTCATGGTGCCAGTAATCATATTTTCTTACAATATTTCTCCGTCATTATTCATTCATTACATTCAACATGTCGTTAGGTGTGTGTTATTCTATAAACACTATCTATCTTAAAAGATTGTCATTGACATAGAACACACATTTCCACATGCAGGGATCACTAACATCTCAAAAGACACAACAAGACATCAAAATGTAAAGTAAAACAGGCTTAATATTAGTAGAAGCTGACTTTTAATCAATTCACTCCTCTTCCCTGCAAGTTTCTGCGACCCCCCCCTTAACATGCCCTGGGACCCCTACTGGTTTGTGGCATGTCAGGGCAGAAGGCTCTTCAGAAAGTTTCAGTGAGGAGGTGGAGTCGGCCTCGTGCGCAGGCTGTCAGCAGCTGTTTCCATAAAGTTTCCACAGGGAAGCATGCGGCATGGTGATAAATAAACCCAACACACCTGGCTTGTTTGATGGTTTTGTTTGGAAATGTAATGTACACAAACTCGATGGAAATACTGGGGACATTTGAATCAAGTCCTGTCTCTCATTGGTCAGATATCTGTGTGGTGTAACTGATTCACATGCACATGTCTGTTAAAAAGAAGTGTGATATCAGGACTTTGTTTCTGGTGGCTCGAGTCGGATGTTCACTCATTTATCAGCCTTTTTCTTTTATTATCTCAGCACCAACATCACATTTACATGAAAGGAGACATCCCTCATCACTTCAGAACAGAGATACCATCTCCATCACGCGTATCTCTTGTCAGCCCGATAGGCGACTTTCATATTAAGTGGAAGTGTGTTTATTTAATTAACCGCAGCAGTTAAGTAAGCAGACGGAGGGGAGTAATAGAGGATGTTTGTGGAAGTTAAAAAGCTGTGACAAAGTCGCCCTGCAGCACAAGAATAAAAGTTTATATGTTAAGAAGCTTCATCAGTGCTGGGATCTATCAGTGCCTTACAACATAGATGATAGAAGAAATACATGAGTGCTAGATAAGGGATTTGTCTCGGACATCAGATTGAAAGTTGTGTGTGTGCGTGCATGCTTGTGTGTGTGTGTGTGTGTGTGTGCTCTCCTCCTGCACCAGGACTAATCAAACATTACAAGCTCATGTTTTGTCAGGCTCTCGTGCTAAAGGGCATGTCAGTCACTCAGACGAGAAAATCCACCAGGATCCTGCCAGTCAAAAGTTTGCAGCATCACACAGTCCACAGGTGATCAAACCCTGCTGGACCTCGCGGCTCCTGCAGTTCTTTGCGCAGTGGGTAGGGTAGGGCATTGATTTAGTCTTCCTTGGTAAACAGTGGCTTTGACGCCCACCGTTGATGTTTGGCGCAGTGTTTTCCTCGTGATGTTACCTTCTCCCTGCCATGTTATTCTTTTTTTCTTTTCTTTTTTATACAGAGGTACCTTTGGCTTCTCGAAACATTTTGAATTCAGTGCCTTTTCTTTGTCGACACATATCAGGGTTCTTTTTACTCAATTATTCTCTGTGTAGTTTAGTAAATGTGCTGTCTGCTTTGCAGGAGAGAGTGCGATCAAAGTCTGTCAGAAAATTGAAAACGCTGTTCGAGTCAAATCTTTTTGAAGGAGTTGGATGCAGTTTCTTTCCCAAATACTCAAACTTGTGAGGATGCATCACAAACCCGGCTTTTTTTTTCTTCTCACATCTAAAGTCAACTTATTCAATCTGTTTACAAGAATCAAATCTCTGTTTACACTCAATGCACCGCCGAGGACAGACAACTTATCAGGATGCAAATGACTCTGCTGTTAGGGCAACACATGGTGAAGGTCTTCTTCTACCGTCATCTGCAGCACGGCACAGCGAAAAGGAAATTGAAAGTAATTAGCAGGGCATTTGGTGGTTGCAGAAGCGGTCCGCTCTCTTGCCTGGCACCTCGTCTGCTGCAGACAAAAAACTCCTGAGTGACATCCTGCTGCTGGTCACACCCTGCCGCTGCTCCTTTTTCTGCGCCTGCATCTGTTCCCTGTACAGTATCTCTCTCTCTCTCTCTCTCTCTCTCTCTCTCTCTCTCTCTCTGTGTTGGTTTAATTTCCTCTCCTAACTTTATCACATCCCTCATCTCTGACTTTGACTTTTTCTCTCTGTTTACTTCTCACCACTTATCAGCTTCGACTCATCTCATAGGAAGCGGTGATATTTTGAGAATACTCCCCTCTTAATATATTAAAAGTCGCACATTCTTCATTTTGTTTTGGTTGAATACATGTCTGCATTCAAGGGTTTGCAGTTGAATTATTTTAACACACAAAGGTAACTTTTAAACATGTCTAATTGTGTAATTACTCATGTGAGTTTTATTGACGGGGAATGTATGTGAGCACAATAACAAGCCTTTAAAACTGACATGAGAAGTCATAAAGAGAATCAACAAATTAGCCTGTGAGGCATACACAGCGAGAACGAGCGAGTGAATAATTGATGGAAACGCCTGTCTGTAGAACAGGAACATATGTACGACACGACACATGAAATAAGAAAATAATGAAGTTGTGAAAAGTGTCTTCAGACGTCAAAACACGACGAGACCTACGATGACACCCTGAGAGCTCGTTGTCGAGGACTCTCTCTCTCTCTCTCTCTCTCTCTCTCTCTCTCTCTCTCTCTCTCTCTCTCTCTCTCTCTCTTTGTCTTTTCTCTCTCCGTCTCTCCGTACTCGTCGTTGCTGCTTCTTCTTCCCTAACGCCCTCCCTTACCTTCACACATGCATGTTACTTTTAATGTCGCCCCCGGAGTACAAACTCTACTCCACGCTCTGTTTCCATCCATCTGTCCAGAGAATTGGCGTTGAACTTTTGTGAAATGTCACGAGAGATGAAACATGATCCCGGTGTTTCCCTTTTAAATGTGTGACTTTAAACAGACTTCCTTATTCCCCAAATAACACATAAACAGCGGAGGTAAAAATGCCTCTGAGATCGTAAACATTTAAAATTAAGACGTTGAACGTGGACTTGAAGTTGGTTTGATCGATAATAATAATAATAATAACTTTATTTCTATAGCACCTTTTAAAAACACAGGTTTACAAAGTGCTTTGACAAACAGCAAAAACAAAAACAAACTAAACCAAACACAGAAGAACATAAACAACAACAAGAACATAACAAATAATTAAATACAATTCAACAGAAAAGAACCCAAAGTGCACGATACCCAACAGACATATAGAACCCAACCATCACAAGAACCATCATAAGAACCATCATAAGAACCCAACAACACGAGCTGAGACCAAGAGGACCAAAGATAAGGCGCTGAGCTTTTTCCATGTTTGGATCTGTAAACACTTCTTATTAAGTAATGCCCTGACTTCCTGGTTTAATGACCTTCTGAAAGCATATCGTCACGGCCCTCTGTGACCTCTCAGTGTGTTACCTGCAGCTGCTGCTGTTGACAAACTCACACAGACCAAGTCTAGTGATAATAAGGGGCAGTAACTAGGGCCCGACCGATATGGATTTGTGGGGCCGATACGAAACATTTTTCCAAAATCGTCATTGGCCGATATCTTTCTTACATCTATCTTCAATCTTTATGGATAGATAGATAGATAGATAGATAGATAGATAGATGGATAGATGGATAAATGGATACACACACATTAATTGCGTTGATCCCTAAAATGCTGTTAGAAAACACTCAAGAAAAAGAGTTTTGATGAAGAATTTTTTTTTACTACTTGAAAAAAGCCTTAATTGTCCAGAATAACAAGACTGCACTTTAACTATTATAAATAAAAACAATGTAAAAAACAATAATGCACTTAAATTTAATAAATCATAGTTATATCAGCATATCTGTAATAAAACAAACAGATACTGGTCGTCACATGATACACAAATA